GAAACACTGAATTCAAATCATCAATTATCCATTCACCTCAAAATTCTCAACCGCTGCGCTCATGTTTTTTGAGAACAAGTTGAGAACTGCCCTGGAAAAATAACCAAGGTCAACATTCGCAATGAAGAAAACATAGGGTATATAGTAGTCAAGATAAAAGGGGAACAAGATCTGTACTCTTCGAACAGTGATGGCAGCAATCCCCGAAAATCTAGCCCAACCCAACCAAGCCCCATAGCACAATACTGTCGACCATAAAAAGTAAGAAGATCAAAATAAACAAACAGAGCTTTTATTACTCTTAAATTTCAATGATATTTAAAGGAGTAGCATGACCAATTTACGAGTGAAGCTTTGGTTTTTTATCATACGTAAAAAGGCGACGAGTATCATTTTAAACGAAAAGTTCAATGAATGGTGATACATCTTGCAAATCATGGACTATTAAAGAAGCAACTGTATTCAGGCATGTATTTCCAGTTTATAGCTTGATGCGAGCATGTGCAGAATGATAATAAATATAATAGAGGATGCTCACCATGCATTGATCCAAGATATTTGATAGAGATCCGCCCTCAGTTATCTTTGGAAGCAGAATTTTAAGAGTCTTAAGGTGTGAAGTAATTATATGCATAGCCCAACTGAAAAGAAGACCACCATCATAATTTTCTTCACTGCCTGATGTATCATCAGCAAATATTGCTCTATATTGGTTAACAACATCAAAAAGATGCATTCTATGACAATTTATCATCCCCTTAAGGTATTCGTAGGCATTTCTCTGGTCCAAATCCTCCAGAATTCCAGTAAGCCATGCCTCCCGACATCTCAAAAACTAAAGCACAGAAAATTAAGGTCAGATACAAGAAAGCCTAGATTTCCAGAGAGGATTACTCAATGAAAGATGTCATTTGAAACGTTACTATTTTCTTACCTGTAAACGCATTTCGTATTCACTAAATACTCCTATTCTACGTAAATATCCAATAATGCGGAGACATTCAGGTAGCTGCAATACACAAAGATACACCCACAATTAAAAAAATTATCAAATTCTGCAATCAATGTAATAAAAAATCATGCTGCACCACTAGACACGTATTTTCATGGCATTACACAATACCTGAATATTTGAACGAAGTTTCTGAAGAAGCTGAGAAAGAAGAGATTGAGTAGTCTGCCTGACTTCGGCTGCCAAAGCCTGAATAACAGGCAATCTTACAGCAGAATGAAAAAAATAAGTCAACAAACCAAGAGATCCTCAGTGCATTGCCTTTCACAAAATTGAAATTGGAACGTCGTTACTACCAATTGACAAGGAGAATAAGGGGTCAAGACTCACTTGGGGTGCATGGTCGAAAGCTTGCAAACAAATGCTTCTAAGTCAAGAGCTTCATCGTAATTTCCATTCCTCACACATCTGCGTAAGAACCAGAATGAATTAAGCATACAAGACTTATCCAATGGCATAACCAGCTGCAGTAAGAAATACAAAATTCCGAAAAATCATGCTCGGCTACCATCAAACAATCCCATTCAGTTCAAATTCACTACTGATGAAACCAATTCACTAGAATGAGAACAACAACATTTTTCTATCCAATCACTCGAGAAACAAAAGAATGCATTGTTTCGGGGTTTTTTGGGTTCGGAAACTAAATCCAAATCAGATTGATGGGTAATGTAGCAAGGATTTATACCACAAACAGTAGTGATACAATTCAAACCAATGATGTTAAACAATATTTCAAACACATACGTATCCATAAGCTGAGGAATTTCAAGTAAGTCGAGCAATGTACTGTGATTAGCTAGCAACGTCTGGTTCAATTTCCTCTTTTCCAAAATCTGCTCCGCGGATTCAACAAACTCGGTGCACCCACTCATCAACTTCGGCGTCTCCTCCAGCTACCAAAACCCAAAATTCCAAGTCAGCATTTCAAAAATGCATCATAAAATTCAAATTAATTAATTAATTAATTAACCAGAAATTAGAGTAAATTCATTATTACCAGAGACTCCAGATGTTTGTCGATGGAGGACACTTCGTTTCGAATTGCGACCAATGCATCGGAAGCGGCAATGAACGCTCGGTAATTGGCCACCGCCACCTCCTGCATTTGCCGCTGTATTCGCTCCGCATCCACCCGAAGAAGCTCCGGTTCCTGAAAACCCGACCCGATAAAAAGAAATCAATTTTAAGTTCGATTAACCAAACGAACGAACGAATGATGAGAGAGGAGGGAGAGAGAGAGAGAGGGAGGACCTTGTGGAGGCGATCGAGGGTGAAGGAGAGGAGCTCGGAGACGTAAGGTTGCTGGGAGGCGGAGGCCAAGGGGAGGAGGCTAGCCACCGCGGAGGAGTCGTCGGCGGCATTTTCGGACTCCATCATCGGGTGGTGGAGCTCCGAATTGGGTGGAGGTTTTCGGATCTCGGACCCTCCGGTTAGGGGTTTGGGATGCGTCGGAGGGAAATGCAGATTTGCAGATCTGCTGCTGCTGCTTTGGAGTTCGTTGCTCCGTTTCGATGGGGTAGTTGTCTTGTCGTTTGATTTGCCGCGATTCGGATCTGGATCCAACTATTTGCTGGGTTTATTGGGCCTCTATGGGCCCAATCTAAGAGGTAATTCTATGGTTTTTTTCCATTTTTCTTTTTATTTTCCAGTATTTAAAACAAATATAAAATAAAATAAAATGCCATTTTTTCAGTTTCATTTTAAAGTGATACAGAGTATGACTGACTTTCATTTATTTTATTTCTGCTTGAGAAATTTATAATTGTAACGATTACACAGTTTTATAGTGTTATCAATTCACGTGTTATAATATGAGTGGATTGATAATAACTTGACAATATAAATCACTAGAAAACTTTTCTAGTTTCTGAATAGATTTTCATATCGATTTATACATGATTATTGTCTGTTTAAAGCTGGTGCGGTAAACCATTTTTTACCCTAATTTTTGGTAATTATATACTTGATCAGGCATTGGACATGTTCTTTTTGAGTAATTTCAGGTTGCTAGGGCTGCATGCCCCTCTGCAAACACAAGTTCGGATCCTCATTTTTATTATTTAGATTATATTAACGTATCGCTCCAAGTAAAAACATGTTACAGATCACATATTAATTCTCGTTGAAAGGAAAGATTAATTAATTAATTACAAACAAAATCAAATACAAGTAGGAGTAGGAGTGTGTGTATACATCACCCAAGATTTGGTCTATGCCTCTGTACTTCTCACCAAAAAGAAAACACAAGCTGAACTAACAAGATGAACAAAAAAAAGACATGAATAGAGGAAGGAGAAGAAGCCTCGGAGGCATAAAAGTAGTAGTAAGGATGTGAACTGTTATTCGCCACTCCTCCTCCTGTTGTTTCTGTTGTTGGCACTGGACCAGCAGGAGGCATGCCGTAGAAGTACCTAAACCGAGGAGGAGGAGGAGCGCCTTTCAAAGGATATGATGGTGGGCATTGTTTTGGCGGTGAGGGAGGTGGCAAAGGTGGTTGTTTTGGTGGCGAGGGAGGTGGAGAAATGTAGTAATATTGAGGTGGAGAGTGGTGTGCTGGCGGCGGTGATTGTAGAGGTGATGGCGGTGGACCTGAAGGCTCAAGTTGAGGAGGAGGAGGTGGTGAACATATGACTGGACATGTAGTGCAGTCACTGATGCATATTAAACCAGTCTCAGGGTCCACCGTTTGATCTCCATATGTGAACCTGGAAAACATGATCATCCCGAAAATCGCGGCCATCAAGGACCGGGGAATCCATTTCCCTACCATGAATCTCAAAGCTCTGGAGTTGGCCATCTGACAGAAGCATAACCTTGAAAACTGACCAAGTTGTGAGGTAGCCTTCAGAAAATTTTGTTCTTCTTATCTGCCTTTTTATACAAACGTATGTATGGCTCCTCCCAAAAGTTTTGATTTAGATGCTTCAGGAAATACACACTAACAGAACGGGTGAAAATCTCACGTAAGGTTCTGTAATAGCGATGGTAACAGTGATGGTATCACCGACTATAATTATCTAACAGTTCAAGTACAATTGATATTGTTGAGGCGCAATCAAAATATGGTTTTTGGGGATGGAATTTTCACAAAACGGACAATAAAGGGGCACTAAACTGTGACTTACATACGGTCTGCACATTGTCCGTTTAGTGTACCCGAGTTATCTTTTTTATTAGGAGTTTGTAACCAGTTTTATTTCCGCTTTTCTTTGTAAGATTCTTTCAATTTCATGTGAGAAGGAATCCTAAGAAAAGCTTCAATGACAATCTAATCCTCCACCTCTAGCTTCTACTTTTTTTTTCTGATGCCTTTCTGCAAGCATAATCCACCTTTGTGAGGATCAATTCCCCCCTTACAGTAGTGGTGCACTTTATGCTCCTTCTTTAGTTATACCTTTCTTTGTAAGATGGATCCACAACCCTTTCACTAACTTTTTGCACTTCTAATTCACCTAATGCAACTCGCAAACTTGCGAGTAGCCAAGTTGGTTGAAACAGTATGTTTTCATGGCTCATTTGCGCCCATGTTTGGATTCTACACCCCCATAGTTTAGATTTGATTTGATTAGATTAGATTATTGTTCGAGTAAATAAAATTTACTAACTTCTTTTAGGCTGGAATTTTCACTTAAGTATAAAGTCTTGCAGGTTTCCTTTTGAGTCACCACACCTTAAATCTTCTCAAACTTCAACTGCAGAGGGAAGTGATCTTCTTATAGTCAAAAAAAGGAAAATATTATGAACAGGCACAGCATGAACACAAAGAACAAATAACAAAGACTTTCTAATCACAAAACCACCAAAGATTAGCTTAAACCAATCAGTGAAAGAAGCCTAAGAATATCAACCTCTTCTTTTTCCTTATATCAGTTTCCTATTATCTACAAACACTCCAGTTTCTTCAATTGTAACTAGCTTTCCGGCCTTTCGTTCCTCGCGTCATCGAGTGGTTTTGAATTGTCTTCGTCTTCTTTGTACTTCTGCACTATGTTTCAACTCCACCCCCGGAGCTACTCTTATCCAGTGGCTCCTGGTTATTCAACAATGTAGCATAATTAAGGCGCTAGCAGATGAAAACTAAATTGAAAAGAGGACCGCAAATTGTTATTAGCACTCCAAAATAGTTATTCTGCACTCATGTTTCCCTCTCTTGTTTTCTTCAATTAGAAATGAGTGCGGGATTACTATTTTAGAGTGTCAATAGCAGCATCCCATCGAGTCTATCAGTTAATGTTACAAACCTGACTAGTTGTAGGTGACGTTCTTGATGTGGAAGGACGCGACGCAGAGCTTCGAGTTGGACTATAATTGAACCCAGGAGGAGTAATGTCACCAGTCCTTCCAAAGTCTCTTAACCGGTTAAGTTCTGGCACTACAACTGTGCCAAGATCGGGCCTGTCCTTCTTCCTTAGCTCTGTGCATTGTAATGCCAAGTTAGCGAACGCTAGAGCCTCTTCGATTGGCCAGTCGGTCACCGCTGGATCAAGCATCTCTGAAAATGTTCCCTTCTCGATGGACCTCCTGACATGATGAGCAAGTCCCATGGCAGGCTTGGCTGTGATGATTTGGAGTAGTACTATCCCCAATGAGTATATGTCCGATTTTGTTGTTAACATGCCAGTTTGTTGGTACTCAGGATCGATGTAACAAAATGTTCCCGCGGCTGCAGTCATGTGGTATTGTGTCACCTCGTCTGCTACAGATGGTGGAACTAAGCGTGCTAGCCCGACATCACTGATCTTGCTCACGAAGTTCCGGTCTAATAAGATGTTTGCTGGCTTTAGGTCACGGTGAACAAGGGGTTCCGGCTTTGCTTGGTGAAGGAAATGAAGCGTTATTGTAATCTCAGAAGCTATTTTGAACCGTCTCCTCCACGAAATTGGGGGGGTGTTACCTCTTCTAAATAACCGGTCTTCTAAGCTGCCGTATTCCATGTATTCGTATACTAGGCATCCATATTCGGGGCAGGCACCAAGGAGGAGAACCATGTTAGGATATCTCATGCAGCTCAGGACCTCAACCTGCATGTCAACGCAAAATATGTCCTTGATAACCATTTTGTTTTCTGATAGTATAACGTTTATGTAATGTTCCAAATCTCAAAACTGTATCAATAAGATACCTCCTGTTGGAATTGCTTCCTCCCTTGAGCAGCATCAGGTCTCAGAACCTTGATGGCAACCGGCGTGTGATCGAGTTTTCCTTTGTACACAGGTCCATATCCACCCTCACCAATTTTATTCGCTTCTGCAAATTTTTCCGTGGCTTCTTCAATTTCTTCTATAGTGTACTTCCTATACCGGACATCATTTTGTGCCAAAGCATTCAACGCCCGGATCTTCTCTTCTGCCTCTTTCTTTGCCTTCATCTCTGCCTGTCTTCTTCTCTGAACTTCCATCTCCGCCAACTTCTGCGCCGCCTCAGCTGCTTCAATAGCTGCTTTGCACTTAGCCTTCTCCATTTCCACAATAGCAAGGGCTGTCTCTTCAGCAACCCTCACTTCATCAAACTTTCGCGCCTCCTCCTGCTTCCACTGACTAAGCTCTTTAGCCTTATTTTTTGCCGAGATTGCTTCTTTGCACGCCGAGCTGTACATGTCCATTGTTTGCTTCAATTCGAGCTTTAATCTTCTCATTTCAGCCTCCAAATCCCGCTGTAATCGATCAAACAGTTAACAGCCAGATTATTCTTTTATCTAGGCCTTGATTATAAATTTTACACTACCAAATTACTGATCAACTTTTCCTACAAGCAACCATTTAATACAACTTACTGCAGATTGTCTGGATGACTCCTTGGGAGAATTTAATGCACTAGAGAAATCGAAGCATTGGTTTGTAATATCCATGGACCCAAATAATGGCATTGACAAGTCACTTTCATCAGCATTCGAAGTGCGGCAGCTAAGCGAAGGCCGTGCTGAAGTATGGTTAGCCATGTCGAGATTAATATCCAACGAGAGATTATTCGGAGCACTCCTTGTCCTCTCGCGTGCCGCAGGCATTTTCTCAGATCCTGGAGCTTTCCACCCTCCCCTTGATGCAGGCTGTCCTCTGCTTCCACCAAACAGCATTGCAAAAATCATGACTTTCTAGTAATAAGAGAAATTCTCTCTACTTGACGTTTTGTCTTACTTAAAGACATGACACGTTGAAGAAACCTCAACCATGTAATTAAAAGAGATCAGAGTCGAAGAAAACTGAGAAGAAGTGAGATTTTCTCAACACGTCATCCTGAAGAGAATTAGCTAAAGTACGTACCTAGCTCCGTTTTCAAATTCATTATGATCTGCTGGGATATGAGGTGGGAGTCCCTGAGAGGATGGCTGTTTTGGTGGAGCTGCAGTATTAAGCACAGGCCTCTTTGCAGTTCTTGTTGACAACATCTTCCCTTTCTGAATTACGTATACCGAACAGAATTCCGGTGCAAGTTTTACAAGGCTGCTGGACACATCATTCCCACTTCTCAACTTCCTGTGAAAAACCACAGCATCAGAATGTAGCTTAGAGAGAGAGAGAGAGAGAGAGTGAGAGAGATTTAAACCTTGTAAGAGCATTCCTTGTTGATGCACCAACTACAATACTATTGAGGTAGTTGCAGTTGATATATTCCAAAAGTGCTTTTGCAACATCACTTTCATCAAGGATAACCTCTTTCACTTGTGCCTAAAATTTAAAAACAAATCAAACCGTATTGAACCCTGTACGCGATATTATGCGTAACACGTTGTAGACTACATCTCTGACAGAAATGACGTAGGTACGTACCCCTTTACGAGCGCAATATGCACGGTAAGGAACGAAAACGCTATGTCCGTTATTATGACCCTCACCATCACTCTCTGCATAATTCCGAAAAGAAACAAAGAAATCACGTCGACAAGACCAAACAATGTGTTTTGAAAATCAAGCAGAGAAAATAGAGGGTACCTACGATTGTTTTTGTGCTTGACGTGGATGAGGATGACGTACGGAGTGTTGCTGGCGATTACAAGATGATCGATAGCCCACCGGACGGCGTAGTTGCTGTTCTTGTTGTCCTTGTCGACGGCCACGGCGGTTGCATTGATGGGTGGAACAGCGTCGTCTGAGGAGTAATGGGAGGCCATTTTGCGAGACGCCACTAGCGCAGCACTAGCACAAACACGCACCAATGCCGCTGTCAATGGCACCACCCTCCACGTCCAAAGCTCCGGGGAAGCTTGAGACGCAAGAAAAGGGGAAAAGGGAAAGAAGAAAGGATGAAGGTTGGGTGATTAGGGTTTTCTGTTGGTGTGGTTGTGGAACTGTAGAATGACATGTTTGGCTAAACATAGAAAATATGACATAACTAACTTTTGATTGACTTTCATCCGTTGCTTGATTTAGGCAATTTTTGAGCTGGCCATGACCAAAATGAAAGAAAACAAAAGGACTTTTGTTCACCTAATTAGGTTTGGATTTTTCTTGAAGCTTTTTGGACTAGTCTACAAACAATGACAGAAATGGGACTTTGAGGGGAATGAAAATCTTGTTTGTTCAACAAAATTTGTTTAAGGATTGATAGTTCTTTGATGAGGGCGAGTCTTGCACAACAGAAATGTTGTTTTTTGGTGGCTGAAAGGTCACAGGTTCAAGGTGTGGAAACAACCTCTTCGCAAAGCAATGGTAAGACTATGTAAGATAGATGTTCCTTCCGCCCCTTGCAAAGCGGGAAACCTTGTTGGCTTGGAGTCACCTTTTATTGGTAGTTGTTTGATATCCATATTGTAGAGAGGTTACAATTACAAGTATTTGGCTTAAATGGTGGCTATGAAGATACAAACTATGTTTACAATTTGTGGCACAAGTGGCTTAATAAAACAATGAATCGTAGTATTCAATTCAAGTTAACCTCTATTTTTTTTACTTTACAAGAGAATAACGACCAATTCTTAATTTAACGGACCATCTTTTTAATATTGAAAGAGACCTTAAATTCGAAATTCTTCTAATATTGATTAAACAAAAAGATTATCTATTCAAATTTAGGATGCGCTAATATTCATTTATAAGACATTTTATAATGACCAGACCAACCTGACAAGTATTAGTCTTTGTTACTATGTGCACTTAAAATATTATGATTCTCTGCTATTTTGCTTACTCATATTTCTCAAAACTCTCTTGAATCGGTACACTATAAGAAAAGTTTATGCGAGAATGTTTTTGCAACGTGACAGTGCTACAAATAGAACATGAAATGTGTTTTCGAAGAATAATTTGGACTTTGAAGAACCTTTAACACGTTATATTTTTCGAATTCTTTTGATCATTTTACAACATGACATGATTATTCACGTATAAATCTATCTCCCACACTAACAAGAGTCTAAAACAAATTTATTTGGTGTGCGAATTGAATTTGTCCAAAATTTTGAGATGTTTTCAGTAATTTAATTCATGACATATTGATTCCCTAATTACACATTAACACGTGAATTAGTAATAAAGTAGCATTCATTATTTTTCCAAAAATACAAACCATGCGAAAGATTTTAATGTGTATAAAATACAAAGCGGTACACTACATATTATACAATGACAGAAACATTTAAAAAAAATCATATAATTTAGATAGGGAATTATTATTAGCACTCTAAAAATCTCATTTGACATTTCAAACTTTTTGTAAATAGAAAAAAATACATTTACTAAAAATATAATAAGATTTTTGAAATAATAATAACGATTCTTTAGATAATCACTGAAAAATTCTCTTCCAGGAGTAGCACATCACCTTGCCCGCGGATTCGCGGGAGCCCTGAGAAAACATTAGGAATCGACGTCGTCTCCAACCGGTGAGTAGAAATTGAAAAACCCTTCTTCCCCAATTAACCAACTGGAATTACCGAGATAGCAACGAAATTCCCAAATCCCCAGCGGACTCAAATCTCCTGCAACGCCTCAATCCGCGAGCAATGTCGTCGATATACGTTTTAGAGCCGCCGACGAAGGGCAAGGTGGTGCTGCAAACAACTCACGGACCACTCGACGTGGAGCTCTGGCTCAAAGAGGCTCCGAAGGCCGTCAGGAACTTCGTGCAGCTCTGCCTCGAAGGTTACTACGACAAAACCATCTTCCACCGCATTATCAAAGGCTTTCTGGTTCAGGGCGGCGACCCCACCGGCTCCGGCACAGGTAATTTCAAAGAAAGATTGAGAATTTCTGTTCGTGAATTTGTATAGTTATCTGGGTTACTTCAGGTTAGGATTTTGAACTTGAATTGGCTAATTTCGAAAAAGACTGAGAATTCCGGTTCTGGAATTTGTATAGTGATCTGGGTTACTTCAGTTTCGGGGAAAAGATTGAGAATTTCGGTTCCGGAATTTGTTTAGTGACCTGGGTTACTTCGGATTTAAGATTTTGAGCTTGAATTTGGATGCATTTTTTGCAAGGGGTGAGAGTATTTATGGAGGTATTTTTCCTGATGAGTTTCATTCGCGTTTGAGATTCAAGCATAGGGGTTTAGTCGCTTGTGCAAATGCTGGTACACCCAATTCGAATGGGAGCCAGTTTTTCATGAACTTGGATCGGAGTGATTGGCTTGACAAGAAGCATACCATCTTCGGAAAGGTGATGATTAACTTCAATGCCGGCACCGGCAGTTTAGCTTTATGAGTATCAGTAGAAAACCAAGGAACCCAACTCACTCAGTACTTTGTTTTTTGTTTTTCAGGTAACTGGGGATTCAATATATAATCTTGTGAGGTTGGGTGAACTCGAAACTGACAAGGAGGATCGGCCGTTGGACCCGCCCCCAGGGATACCATCAGTAGATGTGGCTGAACATGGTCTTTGAGTAAACCTTAAGCTTTCCACTTTCTATATGCTTCTGTGGTTTTTTTTTTTTTTTTTTTTTTTTTTTTTTGTTGCTTTTCTTTTTTATGTCCGTGTTTTAGGTATTATGGAATCCCCTTGATGACATTGTTCCAAGAGTACGTGCAAAGCCTTTGACGGAATCCAAAAATAATACTGACAACAAAGATACAAAGAAGAAAGCTGTAAATTAAGCTTCTTCCTTGCCTGAAGAAATGCGTACATGTGCACTTGTGTGACCGTTGATTTGTTTTTGCACACCTGTGTCTGTGAAAAAAAAATGTATTATGCCATGATATATGTTGTCAAAATTGTCTCTACGCTTATTCAATATCTTATGTGCATGGTTTGTTTAAAAAATGCAGAAAGCTGAACTTGCTTTCATTTGGAGAAGAAGCTGAAGAAGAGAAGAAAGAATTGGCAGCTGTAAAGACAGAAATCAAGAGCAGTCACGATGTATTGGATGATCCTCGCCTTCTGAAGGACGAAGTTCCATTTAACAAATCGGTAATAATCCGGCATCTCTTCTTCTGATTCCTTGTTTACATAAAACTGTTGAAATTTTGCCAACTTAGGTCCATATGTTGTTATAAGCATTTTGAGTGTGATTAGCAATCTACATATGCACATTCCGTCTTTCACCTAATCAGCAATTTATAATTCAAAGGACTTATCTTCAAATGTATTGTATGCAGAACTCTGATGCCAAAACAAGGCATGTACAGTTATCTATCAGAGAAGCTCTAAGCTCAAAGAAAGAAGAGCCCAGGAAAGATTCTGAATCCAAATTTTATAATACCCTTGATCATAGTGATGACGATGATGATGACGAGGCCAACTTTGATGCAAGAATGCGCCAGCAAATACTCAAGAAACGAACAGATTTGGGAGATCTCCTACCAAAGCCAAAGCTGAAGAATGGTACCTAATTGTCCTGTGTAGTATATTTTCTCCTCACTAGGAATAATTAATGCATGGCTGGTTGCCTTATAAATGACAATTATTTTTATTGCCTTATTATACCCATTTTCTTAACTTATCACATCCATATGCAGGGAGATCTAGCCCAAAGCAGCATGAAATACCTACATCGAGGTAAACGGTTCAAAAAATTTCTTGACATTGCATATTTTTACCCTGGCAAAGTTTTGGGTGTTGGTGATTTTTTTTTCTTTTTTTTTTTTCTTTTTTTTTTTTTTTTTTGCAGATTTCAGAACACTGACACAGAGACTGGAACATTGATAAATAGGTTCACAATAATCTCTTCATTTCCTTGTTGCCAGGTCCAATGTTGAAAGCATTGATGATGATCAACAAAAGGTGGATAAGCTGTCCTTGAAGAAAAAAAGGGATAGGATCAGAGGCAAGAGCTGAACGCATGGCGAATGGTGATGCAGACTTACAGTTGTTGGGTGACGCTGAAAGAGGAAGACAATTGCAGAAACAGAAGAAGCGTAGAAATCAAGGACGAGAAGATGAAGTATGTTATGTACTCTTTTCTTGATTTACCTATTTACTTTCCTGTCTTCCCTCCAACTATGGAAGTAGGCTAAGATCAACCTTTTCATTCTATTCAAACATGGTAAAGTAGTAGATGCTTGTAAAATGAGTCAAAACCCGTAAATTTTGTGGGTTTTTTTTCAGAAGATGCTTTTAGTTTCTCGAGTACTTCTTTTCTTGATTTACCTATTTACTTTCCTGTCTTCCCTCCAACTATGGAAGTAGGCTAAGATCAACCTTTTCATTCTATTCAAACATGGTAAAGTAGTAGATGCTTGTAAAATGAGTCAAAACCCGTAAATTTTGTGGGTTTTTTTTCAGAAGATGCTTTTAGTTTCTCGCAAAACTCGAGAAGTTTAAGAAGGGAATATTCGAAAAGCACACAGCCCCAGGTAGTGAATCTGGAGGTGGCAAAGCAGAAGACTTATCTGATTGGAAATCAGTTCCGTTAAAATTTGCTCCTGAGAAAGGGAAGGTAAGCTTCATAGGTTCATAATTGTTAATGCCATTTCCTTTGGGTGATATAACAGTATCTCCTCTTCTCATTTTAAATATTCTTTGAACGAATATCAGTTTGCTCTTTATCTAGATTTGTGCTTCTCCGTGGCTTAAATTTTCCTGTAAATCACTGTGCAGGATCACATGTCTCGCAATGAGGACCTAGATGACTACGTCGTGCATGACCCTTTTTTGGAGAAGGGGAAAGAGAAATTCAACCGATTGCAAGCCAAGCAAAAGCGAAGAGAGCTAGAATGGGCAGGCAAATCTCTTACTTGATCTCATCTCTGCCAAGTCCCAACTTTATGAGTTTGTTAATATTTGAGACCGAATCAAAGCTATAAGAATTCGATCCCATTGTCTTTTCCATGCTGCCTGGCTGCTGAAAGTGTGCACGTTTTGGCTACATTTTCAAGAAACAAATGGATCTTGAGCCACCTTGTTCGACAACGATTCACCCCACACCTATATGGGTCATCTGACCTACCAGAGCAGCCGAAGGCATGATTCCGCATCTGTGCTCCTATGTATTGTTGCTGGTGCTTTCGCTGCCATCACCGACGTAATCTTTTCTGCTCGATATTAGGTTAGACAGTTTTGATGCATCTATATTTGTACTTACCTCAAACAAGTCCAAAGTTCTAAACGAGGCAGTTCTAGGAAAATCAAATGCATGAGTTTCTCGTTAAGCTAGGTCAAGTTTGTTTCCCTCGCATCTGTTTACCTACGTCCGGGTTGTCATTGCGGTGGGTTTTTGTATCAATAACGTAATGTCGCGTGTTTAGCTTTGCTATGTGGCAGTTGGTTATTGGTTTGAAATACCGCTGCAGTGGTAGTTTTTTTAAATCAATAAGGCAATTTCACTTGTTTGACTTTGGCATGTGGCAGTTGGTTATTGGTTTGAAAAACCGCTACAGTGGTGGGTTTTTAAATTAGTACGCAATGTCGTTTTGCCAAGCGGCAGTTGGTTATTAGTTTAAAATACCGCCACAGTAGTGGTTTTTTTAAATTAATAACGCAATGTCACGTGTTTATCTTAACTATGTGGTGGTTGGTTATTGATTTAAGTCATTTTCAACTTTTCAGGCCTTACCATTTCAAAGGTTCTAGACGTATGTGTACGATATTCAAACCTATGAGACTTGCCTTGGGCAGCAAGAATCCAAGAAATAGCGGTGATGTTTGACCAGGTCAATATTGTAAGACCCAGCAACTTACAAAAGCCAAGTCTTGTTCATTGCATGTACAACAAAATAATTGTTTTTATAATATTTTGTGAGCCGAGAAAATGATTTTGGTACTGTAATTTGGTAAAGTTCCATTTCGATGCCCCAAGTTTTAATTTCGCAATTGAAGTGTTTGTAGTTTACTCATTATTGTAATCGAATGACAATATTTTAAGGGGTGAAGTACAAAGAATTAATCAATAAATTAGGTGATTTCAAATTACTCCGAACTTTTTAAAACATTTTAAATAATTATTTAATTTTCTAAAAACCCGACATCTAGTAGGTTACGGAACCTTACCAACATTAAATAATGAGATGGGCAAATACTAAAGTTGGTTTCACTAATCAACGTCTTTGGAGTTCTAATCCTCCCAATTGACCCATTTTAGTCAAGTTAAACCATAAATTTGCTTTGATAAATCCATCAATTTGGATATTCAAATCTCTGTCGATGTTTGAGAGTTCAAACACGCTCTGTATTTATCCATGTCATCACTAGTGAACCTAATAGATGTTCATTTTTGAAAACTTAAGGTTGTATTTCGAATGTTTTAAAAGGTGATGACCAATATGTTATAAAAGGTTATGTCCATTTTTGTCAATCTATATGTTCTAGAACGTTACCCGCGTCTTTTCAATATGTAGTTTGTATAAGAGAAATGCTAAGAAGAATCTAAAAAATCGAACTCTGTAGACTCTTTGTCATCTCATGTTTTTGACACAATATTGTATAATATTGGTATGAAAACTGATTTCATATTAAAATATGACATAGAGTCGATAAAGAGTTTCACATGTCTTCCCTTCAACTATGGGAGTAGGCTAAGATCAACCTTTTCATTTTATTTAAACATGGTAAAGTCGTAGATGCAAGTAAAATGAGTCAAACCCCGTAAATTTTGTGGGTTTTTTTTTTATCAGAGGATACTCAACGTGAATTCGTAACCATGTTTTTGTGGATTGGATGCTTTTAGGTTCTCGCAAAACTTGAGAAGTTTAAGAAGGGAATATTCGAAAAGCACACAGCCCCAGGTAGTGAATCTGGACGTGGAAGGAGAAGTTCAACCGATTGCAAGCCAAGCAAAAGCGCCGAGAGCTAGAATGGGCGGGCAAATCCCTTACTTGATCTCATCTCTGCCAAGTCCCAACTTTATGAGTAGGTGAATATTTGAGACCGAATCGAAGCTATTAGAATTCGATCCCATTGTCTTTTCCTGCTGCCTGGCTGCTGAAAGTGTGCACATTTTGGCTACTTTTTCAAGATTCAAATGGATCTTGAGCCACATTGTTCGACAACGATTCACCCCACACCTGTATGGGTTATCTAACCTACCAGAGAAGCCGAAGGCATGATTCCGCATCTGTGCTCCTATGTATTGTTGCTGGTGCTTTCACTGCCTTCACTGATGTTAAAACCCAGACCTGCAATTGTCTCAACCTACCAGTGTAACAATGGTGATGGAAGCAATGGAGAAGATGAAGTGAGAAGAGAGAATATTCTATTACTTTTTCAATCATACCGTTACAATGATTTTCGGACCAACGTATGAGTGAGGATCCTCGCCGGATCCGGGAATCCTGCAATCACATTCGTTCATTTTGTATTATACGGTCAGTTTTTATCAGGTACTGTTTATATTCAATTTTAAATAAAAAATTTACAATAATTTTTTACCACGCGATGTACGATGAACGGATGTAATTAAAGGATTCTTATCATCCTCACAAAAGAATGATGATCCTCCTGCCCAATATATATCCCTAGCGCTAGCATTCGCCCAACGTGTGAATGCTAGCTGGACAATTTAACCAACTAATTAAATTGACCCCCCCCCCCCAAGACTTAGGCTATTACAAACAAACCCCAAATCCACGGACTCTTACAAAGTAGCCCAAAATCCCTCACAATTTAGTCCAATACTATTAATACTAATTTATTCTTGTGACTGAAACAATCACCAACTCAGTTCATAACAACCGACGGAATCTTTTCTGCTCGATATTAGGTTAGACAGTTCTGATGCATCTATATTTGTATATACCTCAAACAAGTCCAAAGTTCTAAACGAGGCAGTTCTAGGAAAATCAAATGCCTAAGTTTGTTTCTCTCACATCTGTTTACCTACGTCCGGGATGTCATTGTGGTGGGGTTTTATATCAATAATGTATGTCATGTGTTCAGCTCTGCCATGTGGCAGTTGGTTATTGGTTGGAAATATTGTCGCAATCGTAGTTTTTTTTTTTTAAATCAACAAGGCAATGTCACGTGTTTAGCTTTGCCATATGACAGTTAGTTATCGGTTTGAAAAACCACCATAGTGATGGGTTTTTAAATCAGTAACGCACTATCACGTGTTTAGCTTTGTCATGCCGTAGTTGATTATTAGTTTAAAAAACAGTGTGGTTTTTGAAGGACAGCTAAATTGTTCATAGTAAGTCATTTTCAACTTTTCAGGCCTTACCTTTTCAAGGGTTCTAGACGTATATGTATGATATTCAAACCTATGAGACTTGCCTTGGGCAGCAATAATCCAATAAATAGCGGAGATGTTTGACCAGGTCAATATTGTAAGACCAAGCAACTTACAAAAGCCAAGTCTTGTTCATTGTATTTCGACCAAAAAACAAAACAGTCTTGTTCATTGCATATACAACTAAATAATTGTTTTTATAATGTTTTGTGAGCCGAAATAATGATTTTGGTACTGTAATTTGGTAAGGTTCCATTTCGATGCTCCAAGTTTTAATTATCGCAATTGAAGTCTTTGTACTTTAGTCATTATTGTAATCAAATGACAATATTTTAAGGGGTGAAGTACAAAGAATTAACCTAAAAATTAGGTGATTTCAACTCAGTTCGAATTTTTTAAAACATTTTAAATAATTATTTGACTTTCTAAAAACTCAACATCTGGTAAGTTACGAGAATTTTACCAGCATTAAATGATGAGACGGACAAATACTAAAGTTGGTTTCACTGATCGACGTCTTTGGAGTTCTAATCCCCCCAATTGACCCATTTTAGTCTAGTTAAACCATAAATTTGTTTTGATAAAACCGTCAATTTGGAGATTCAAATCTCCGTCAATGCTTCAGAGTTAAAACACGCTTTGTATTTATCCATGTCATCACATGCTAGTGAACCAATATGTTTTAAAAGGTTATGTTCATTTTTGTCAATCTATATGTTCAAGAACGTTACCCAGGTCTTTTCAATATGTAGTTTGTATAAGAGAAATGCTAAGAAGACTCTAAAGAATCGGACTATGTAGACTTTTTGTCACCTCATATTTTTGACATAATATTTTATAATATTTATATGAAAATTGATTTTATATTAAAATATAACATAGAGTCGACGAAGAGCCTCGCTTTAAGTGAATCTTTTTAACATTTATATTTGTATAAAAGTTGTCATGTCATTGTCCATAAACCGAGGCAATTATTAAACTATAAAGACTAACAAAGATAGTTAAAACTGCAGAGATCAAAACGAAACTTCGCTGAAACTGCAAAGACGAAGATGATTACTTTGAACATGGAAATAAAATATGTTTAGCCAATTTTAACCGACGTAATTACCAATTCAACGTTGGATGTTGACTGTGCACAAGAATCTTACCACCAATTAAATAAACCAAAATTTTAATTTTTAATTTTTAATTTTCTTCTTGGGTTGGATGCGTTGGTCATTGCGATGGATTTGGTCAAAGATTAATGTGTATCGTTGAATTTTTGCTATCCTGTGGAGTCCACCGTAGCCAGCTGTATATATCTATGTCTACAATGTTTGCAAAAATAAGTTTTAAATAAAAAAACTAATAAAAAAAACTTCAAAACTTTAAGTTTTAACAAAAGAAAATCATGTTATAACTTTATTTAATAATAAAGGCATGAGAAAGGAAAAAAAACAAAAAACAAAAAAAAAACCTAACTAAAGGCGCATGAAAAGAGCATCCAACCAACCCTTCAGTTGCATAACCCTTTGACATAATCCAAACATATTTTATTCCTCAGAAATTAAAATTTCATATTGAAGTGAGTTCCGTTCAATTCATAACTACATTTGGGGCGGTATGGTTGGGAGGGAGTCGGTCAAGTATGGGCATTGACGTTGATCTCTATTATATATATTTTTTTTATCTTTTAGCCATGCATGACTTTAATGGTATGGACGTTGAATCTGTCATGTATTTTTTATCTTTTTATTTCATTCTGGTGAAATAACTTGAAAATCTAGGACGAGCATCTACCGTTAATTTTCATAAACAATGTAGCATCGTTAAGTTTCATAAACAGTGTCGTACCATTAAGTTTCATAAACAGTGTAGTACCGTTAAGTTTCATAAACAATGTAGTAAGTTTCATAAACAGTTTGTATGAGTGGCGTGCCAGTCCACGCGTCAGTTTTTTTTTAAATATTAAAATTATGTCTTTTTCATTAAAATTTAAGTTTTTTTGTTCTTTTTATTAAACTTTAAGAGTTTTTCATTAAAATTTAAGTCTTTTTCATTAAATAAAGTTATAGCATGATTTTTTTATTAAAATAAATTTAGTTCAAACCCTTTTTGTCACATCCCAGCCCGGGCGGGACCACTTCCCGGGCTGGGATGTGACAATTTGGTATCAGAGCCTAACCTTGGCCGCGTGTGTGCCGACGAGGACGTCGGGCCCCTAAGGGGGATGCATTGTGACATCCCACATCGCTCAGGGGAGTGATCCTTAAATGTATATTCCCATCCCTACCTAGCACGAGGCCTTTTGGGAGCTCACTAGTTTCGGGTTCTGTAGGAACTCCGAAGTTAAGCGAGAAGGGAGCTTGAGCAATCCCATGATGGGTGACCCACTGGGAAGTTGCTCGTGAGTTCCCAAAAACAAAACCGTGAGGGAATGGTAAGCCCAAAGCGGACAATATCGTGCTACGGTGGTGGAGCGGGCCCGGGAAGTGATTCGCCCCGGGCGGGGATGTGACAATTTCACAATTTGGTATCAGAGCCTAACCCTGGTCGCGTGTGTGCCGACGAGGACGTCGGGCCCCTAAAGGGGGTGGATTGTGACATCCCACATCGCCCAAGGGAATGATCCTTAAATGTATATTCTCATCCCTACTTAGCACGAGGCCTTTTGGGAGCTCACTGGCTTTGGGTTCCGTTGGAACTCCGAAGTTAAGCGAGAAGGAGGCTAGAGCAATCCCATGATGGGTGACCCACTGGGAAGTTGCTCGTGAGTTCCCAAAAACAAAACCGTGAGGGAATGGTAAGCCCAAAGCGGACAATATCGTGCTATGGTAGTGGAGCGGGCCCGGGAAGTGATCCGCCCCGGGCCGGGATGTGACACTTTTCATGAAAGTTTCCTAAACAAAAAAGGAACCTCAAGTCATCAAAATTTTGCGTTTTGCGAAAATTGGGGGGGACGTCCAAAGAATTGTTCTCAAATCAAAAGGAGTATAGAAGAGTTCGAAAAGCTTACACCGTTTTTTCTAATCTTTGGACAAGCAACAACTCTAGTCCAAACCAATGTTCATATTATGTTGCATTAAAGCTTTGTTTTTCTTGGAAATCATACTCATAATATTAGTACGGAATTTGACGTTAAACTGTTAAGTAGGAGAGAGCTTATAAAGAGTAATATTTTGAGAGAGTCATTTTAGCATTTTTCTCGTGAAAAATGTAACAATGATAAGACATTGGGATATGAGATAAGCATTCTTTTACATATTTATTAAATGTAACGTTTTACGTCTAGAGTTTGATATTTTCTCAACTTTCAATCATTAATGCAAATGAATTCTGCAATTATTCATGCAAACCTAAATAACATCACTCGTAATGTTTCTGGGCACGTAAGTAGTCATCCTTTGCGAGTTAGCATGAATCTTCTAAAGACATGCGTAATTTGGAGAAATTTTTTTGTTTGGATGTCTGACCACGTAGCTAATCAGATCAATCTCACAAAAATATAAAATCTTTTTGAAATCTAATCACATTTAAATCACACGTCTTAATCATTTACTGCCCTAATCAATTGGTTATACCCTTTATCCTAAGCTTGAAAATGGCGTTGGCCCACGAAATCTATGGTCCCAATTCTCATGCGCAACATCTATCCAAAAATATGAAAATTGTCAAAAGGCATGAGGTGGTTTGGTGTTCTTTTGTTCCAACAAAGTAAAATTCCAATCACACACACACCCTTGAACCCCAGAAATTAAATATAAAATATAAAAAAAGTCGGCAATCCCAAAGTCACCGTCGTAGCCGACCCACCACTGCCACCATCCCTAAACCCGCGTTCACACCTGCCAGTGCTACCTTTATACCCGCGTCTTTTATCCACGTTTCACGCGAAGTAGGATTATCTTCTTTTTTTTTTTTTTTTTTTTTTTTTTTTTTTTTTTGAATCGTTTTGATTAAATCACATCAATATCTTATGTTAATTTTTTTAATAAAAAAATACAGACAAAATAAAAAGTGTGAAAAAAAAAAAGAACGGAAAGGAAATAAAAAAGAATAGAGAATCTTATCCTGTTCACACACAGCTCCCCACCGCCCCACCGAAGTCAACGTTTTCCGTACGCGCCAATGTTATTTCGATCCTCTCCCGTTAATTAATTTTCTAACTCATTTTCTAAGCATTTTACAAGTGTTTCCAATCATCTTTAATTAAAATGTAATTAAAGATTTTTTTTTTTAGTATATCGATATTTTTATACTAAAGAAATGACAAGTTCGACTAAGCTATATAATAGGCAATTTAATTTGGTATCGAATCGCCATTCACGAGATTAGAATCTAAAACCTCTTATTTTCAAATGAAAAAACATACTACCAAATTGTAGTATTAGATGGCAATTAAAGACTACTGCTTAGTTAAGTTGGTTTTTATGCATGAATGATAGGTTTACTTTTGTAATATACGCTGATACATTTATTGCAACGATATCGACACATAGTTTACTTTTTAACACACAACAACCATCTTTTCCACCGAAACATTAATGAGACTAATGAAGGTATATAATTTAATTCTTTAAATCTTGTCTGTTCATTTTACGTCGTATTAAATACAACATGAGTTCGTAAATTTTCTACACGTACAAAGAGTTAGGTGTTTGTGCTAACTAGATATTTACTTAAGTTCATAATCACTATCAGATGTCACGGTAATGAAAATTAATAATATTTATGCACACTGATGCAGATTTGATTCATACCGATTCTATGTATTAGTATTGGACTTATATGCTTATGTTGATGTGTAGTGTGAACGACAAGTGACATATAAGTCCATATTTATACAATGTCACAAAACTTTCCTTCCGCCCCACACTTTCTCAGTTTGTTAATCTCCGCGTTCACACTTGCATTTTTCATATTTTTCAAAAAGCCAAACACTTTTTCTCCTTCTTTTCCTATTTTGCTTCTTCTTCTTCTTCTTCCTCAATTTCCTTCTTCTTGTTGTTGTTGTTTCTGCAAATCTGTACCTTATATGAAACTCGAGCTCCAGAGAGACCCAGCAGCACACCCAACACACCCTGCAGCTGAAGGCCTATCCACCATCTACACCTTCCTCCAGAACTCTCTCCACGCGCAAATGAATGAGAACGGAAACGGAAACGCCAGGAAACGGCGTCGTAAAGACTCCAGCGGCGGCGAGAAGAAGAAGAAGGAGCTGAAGGGCGTAGTCGCCTCCTTGTCGCTGCTAGAAGAGGAGGAGAAGCAGGACGAGCGGGAGCACGACAGGGCAACGAATGACGACGCGTCGTTTATCCAAGAGAAGCACACGGAGAGAACCAAGGCCATGCTCGATTGCTACTCCGATTTCCAGGAGTGCTCCTCGGAGGTGGAAGAATCCGAAACGATGAAGCGGAGAAAATCGAGAAGCGCCGCCGTTTCGGCGGAAGCCGATGGAGCTGATAAAGGTAAGCCGGGAGTCGGGTCGGGTCAACATCGGCGGCTGTGGGTCAAGGACAGGTCGAAAGCGTGGTGGGACGAGTGCAACCAGCCGGATTTTCCGGAATCGGAATTCAAAAAGGCGTTTCGGATGGGGAAATCCACGTTCGATTTGATATGCGAGGAGCTTAACTCCGCCATCGCGAAGGAGGATACGACGCTGCGGTCGGCGATTCCGGTGCGGCAGAGAGTGGCGGTGTGCCTGTGGCGGCTGGCCACCGGCGACCCGCTCCGCCTCGTGTCTAAACGATTCGGCCTCGGCATCTCGACCTGCCACAAGCTCGTTCTCGAGGTCTGCTCCGCGATTCGTACGGTTCTGATGCCAAAGTATCTGCAGTGGCCGGACGAGGCCGCGGCGAGGAAAATTAAAGACGAGTTCGAGGGTATTTCTGGGATTCCAAACGTTACTGGGTCTATGTACACCACGCATATACCCATCATCGCACCCAAAATCAGCGTCGCTGCGTACTTCAATAAACGGCACACCGATAGGAACCAGAAGACTTCTTACTCGATCACCGTGCAGGGGGTGGTGGACGCCAAAGGCGTTTTTACCGACGTGTGCATCGGATGGCCAGGATCAATGCCGGATGATCAGGTGCTGGAGAAATCGGCGTTGAATCAGAGGGCTAACAATGGTCTGCTGAAGAACGTGTGGATTGTTGGGGGTGCTGGGTTCCCTCTGATGGACTGGGTGCTGGTGCCGTACACCCAGCAGAACCTAACGTGGACCCAGCACGCTTTCAACGAGAAGATTGGGGAGATTCAGAATGTCGCCAGAGATGCGTTTGCTAGGTTGAAAGGGAGGTGGTTTTGCTTGCAGAAGAGGACGGAAGTGAAGCTGCAGGACTTGCCGGTGGTTCTCGGGGCGTGCTGTGTTTTGCACAACATTTGTGAGTTGAGGAAGGAGGAGATGGATCCCGAGCTCCGGTTCGAGCTCGTCGACGACGAGATGGTCCCGGAGGTCGCTCTGAGGTCGACGAGCTCGATGAAGGCCAGGGATGCCATTGCTCATAATTTATTGCACCACGGCCTCGCGGGTACTAGCTTTCTTTAGGTAAGCTCCTTATATCTACTAAGTCACTGTCTGACACGTACTCGTTACATGTACAAATCATTAACAAATCACAATCTAACACGTACATCTAAGGAGTACATGTAAGGAGACAGGTATTTTTCCTTCCTCCCTTATTTGTAATTTGTGTGGAGGGGCTCTTTGTAAAAGATATACTTCAATATCACAGAACACGTTGTTGTAACATGATATTTCGCACTTCAATTGCCAAGTAAGATATTAATGAAGTTGCTTAGCAAATTATTTATTTATTATTCTGGATGTTTTTCTTCCCTATTTTTCTGGAACAAAATCCTCTCCGGATCATTTCCATGTAGATCCTTCGGACCAAATAACCTCAGTCGTGCACGTAAAATCAAATCGTGCGGCTAAGATCACTTTTGCTCTTTAACTCTCTCACTCTCTCTTTCTCCTCAACGTTCTTGCCTTCTTCTCGATCGACGAAGCAGAACCGCAAACAAGAAAGAAGAAGAAAATGGGAGGGTTTGAAGGTCGGGGAAACATGCAGTTTGAATTGGGGTGGGAGGTGGAGTGGGAGGTGAGTGATGGGAGAGAGATCCGCAGGATCCGGATGAAAGGGGATCCGAAGAGGATCTGTTCCCTTATTTTCTATCCAACAGGATCGTTTTGGATTTTTTTACGAGGATTTTGAGAATTTATAAATCGTGTATGTTCATTATATATTGTCCGTTCAGTTTTTATTAAATATTGTTTATGTTTAATTTTAAATAAAAATATTTAAAATAATTTCTGACCACACGATATACAAAATAAATAAGATTAATAGATTCTCGAAATCCTTACAAAAAAAATAAAAAATCCGACGAACATCCGGAAATGCATCATGACCTTATATTTCGTGGCTCGAGAAAGGCCATAATCCGTTCAGTGCTTGGATGATCTCTCTCGCGTAGATTGTCTGAGTGCGTCATTCGGACAACACCTTTCACACCATAGGACGCTCTATGCTTAAAGTACTACCCAACCTCCCGACCTCGCATCGATCTTGTCGTGACTATTGCCTTTAATTAGATATTCTTACCAAAGTTTATCTCGTGTCTCATATGTCACATCCTGACTTGAGCTCTACTATATTCTGAGCTTCACTTCGTCGTAATACGATATTATCTGCTTTCAACCTCGATCACGCCCTCATGATTTTGTTTCTAAGAACTCACACAAGAAATTCCCAGTTGATCATCCATCCTGAGATTGCTCAGGCATAATCTCGCTTAACTTCGGAGTTCATATGGAATCCGAAGCCACTAAGCTCCCCAAATGCCTCGTGCTAATGGAGGTGAGCATGTACATATAAAGCATAAAGGATCCTCACCTCTAGACGATGTGGGATCTTAACATCATACATGGGAGAATCTTGGGTGCCCCCAGGATATTCCGTCACATCTTTGATTGTATGCAAGATTCTCCCCCACTTCGCACCAAATTTGTAATGGTTTATTTAGCTTAAGTATTCAGTTTGTAGTAGTCCATTTAGTTTTAGAATCTTTAATATCAAGTCATTATCATAAAGTCCAGCCAACAGTTCCCCAAAGTAGGAGGCATATTCCATGCTTAACACTTACCTTTGAAACAGTATTATATTCCAATGACTTCACTGAAAGCATCACAATATACAAATAGTAAGTCGAGACCTACCGAAAACATCACGAAACAGGCTCCAGCAAGCCGCATCTTTCGGCATTCCTGTGCCGTTGTCGTAAACTTGCGGTGGCTTCACCGTCCATACGCCTTTCCCTATCATCAACCAAATGATGCAACAATTCAATTGAATGGGTTTTCCATTTTAAAACTATAACCAAGAAGCGATTCTAAATCAGCGTAATGCATGGACTCTGGAGCTGCTTGTGCACATTACTCGTTTCTGTAACATCCACGGACCAAGACAACTCGGACAGATTTCTAATCAGCCATTTTTTGTCACCGTGGGATTCGAATTCTATGTTCATTGTCATCATCTGGTAGATTGAATGGAAAATGTGCAAAATGGATCTTCAATGCAGGGGATTCGGGTTTCTTGTTATCAAACTTGTAACCTGCACGCATCCACGTTGCAGAGGTTGATAAGCGATGAGTTTACTCAAATTACTAGATTCAATGAAGCTTTATCAATTAACTATTTATGTTAAACGGGAATCTAAACTGTAAAAAGTTAATTTTTTCCCGAAGAAAAAAAATTGGTTACATTATTACTCCGATTGCCATATGGTATTATTTGATAACTGGAACATGGATTTCACATATATGGCGGACATGGATAGATCAGAGTTAATTGCTCATGTAATACCTTGAAGAGCTTCCATAGCAGTCAGAGCACACTTCGGATCAGCAAACTCCACAAAGCACAGAACCATAGCCTTATCGCCACTCTGCAGTTCATGTAAAGGTCTAGTAAATATAGAGACGAGCTCATACAAAAGAAAAGTACAAGGACGCTAATAGAAATATAAACCAATAACTGTGTGCCCCTCAAGGAAAAAAATGGTTGCTAGATCACACGTAGCCTGTCAGCTTTGCTAAACTAAAGGGTAAAACACCAATTACAGTATAAGTTACCGCATAATCTTTGTGAAACTATAATGAAGTCTGTGAAGATTACTCAAGAAGTAGGAAGATAAGAAGACTTACACGTCTAGGCTCCTTGTGAACGACTCTGATTTCTTTAAAGCCAACAAATGGACGAAATATATCTTCGTTGCAAGTCAAGGTTTTTAAATGACAGAACAAAGCAATAGAATAAAAGCATATTTCAGCCACAATCATTTCCATTTCCATAAATTCTGAATCCAGGGTTAGGAGTAAAAGGATACGACTTACTTCTCTTCGGGTACAGTCAGTGGGAAGTCCATCGACAAACAAAACGTTTGATTCCCCTTTCACAGGAAGAACATCGGCATTTCTCAAAGAGCCAGTTGGCCTTTCTAAACTTAAGTCAGCAGGAACATTAGGACTAATACTTACTGCAGCAACATCGTGTCTTTGGCTTATCAAACTCGGAACTTCTAAAAGCGATGAATAACCGTTTGGGCTGGCTCCTGCTGTTACACCAAGAACTGACTCATGACGAAACCGAAGACCTCCGGCATCATCTACAGCATATACCCCAGTACCAGTAGTCATTGATCTTATCTGCAAGCAGATCAAATACCACAATCCCTTCACAAGAATTCATATACATTAACACATGAACATTATCATATACTTAGGCTTGTCTGGGACTGTTTCCGGAAGGGCTAAAATCGCTTTTTGACAACCAAAACCACTTATGAATGCCTTTGGCAGACTAAACTTAAAATCATTTATGGGTCATTAAGCACTTCTACTGAAAGTTCATTTCCAATAAGCACTTGGATTTTGATAAAAATTTCAACCGTTTCTAATAAAAGCACTTTATAGGCTTCTAGCAAAAGTGCTTAAGAGCACAAGTGATACCTACCGAAGCAGTCACAAACAGGCCCCTATAGTAACTCAAGAAAGGTAGCGTCGAACAAATTCTTAGTTCTTACATCTCTCTGCAGAAAATCGGAAGCATAACTCCGCTGCGTATCGGTAGAGGGAATCGTAGGATTGAATAGCAATGAGGGTGTTTCCGACGACAAGTAGCCGGGAAAGCTTGGCCTTGCAACACTGTCTGTCACAATACAATATAATCCACCCATCAATCATTCATCAATTTCTCTAATCTTGTATTAAACAGCAAAACAATACAATTAAGTAAGACCATGCATAAACCATGCATTAGAAAACATTGAATTGATGAAGTGACAAATAGATTGTTTGGATGCTGAGAAAATGCGAGAAAGTGTGCAGGAAAATCGAGAATTTGGGGGTTGTGGAATTAGGGTTAGGTCAAAACAGAAAACCTCTTTCGGGCGGGGTGAAGTATATACGGTAGGGATCGCCCATGTCTTCTTCCGCCGCCTGTTTCGGCTGATGAGATCGACTGCCTCTGGTTCTTTAGCAGTTAAAGCACCCTCTGCGTTTGGTTTGTATTACTTGCAGACTTGCAGGCGCATTCAAGGTCGAAACGCCGCAGTTTTGGCTCTAGACCAATCGGAATTTGATCGAATTACTTAGGGCTTTGGCTATCATATTGGGAATTGGGAAAGGAATCGGAGAATTCTTCCACCAAATCTTACCGATCAACAAATTCGGATCTTTAAAATTTAATTGAACGGTTAAAAACATGAGGTCTTTTAAAAGTTATAATAACTTTAGTAATTTGATCAAATTTCAAAGGTTCGAATTTGTTGATTGATAGGATTTGGTGGAAGAGATCCGGATTCCATGATATTGTGGCAATATGTTGGTATGGCGGAAAAAGTATGTGAACGTATAAAATAAGTAATACTAGAAAAATTAAATTTATAGATAAAATTTTGGAAACTAAGAGACATGAAAGTTGATTATTGATTTATTACTTAAACGTTGATAAACGTGCTTACTTTTATTGGTGACGTATCGTTTAGTTTGTAAATTTAGTCTCTAAATTTAATATCCTAGCATTACCATAAAAATTACGCTTTTACAGCAAGTTGAAAAATTCAAATATGATAGCAATATATTGAACTCATAATATTAAACTCATGCATTCAATATATTAAAATCATGAGTGATATTTATAATTAAATATGTAAAAAAAGTATGACTCTAATTTTCACCACTGTAAGATAGTGTCATAGATATTAAACTCGCATGTCTCACTTACTGTACCATGAAAGATCTTACATATATTTAATATAATTATCATTTCGATGATCAATTTTAGCATTAGATCCTGTATTCATGGAAATTAGGAATTACATGTTTCTAAATTATTACCATGAAATGAGTTTGAGTTTCACTTCCATACCCCGTAGCATTAGGTTAAAATTGCCGGTTTACAGAAAATGATAGGAGGTAGCCTGTAAAAATTTGGTCCCACAACCTCTCCACTTGTCAGAAAAAATAGGAAAAGGTCTTGGTCTGTCGAAAAAAGTAGGAAAATGGATTTAAATCCTTGAAGACCACAACCGCATTAAACCTCTCTCCTACTACAGACCAACACGGCAACACCCCCACCACCTAATCTCTCCGCGTCACGGCGGCTCCCGAGATGGAGGTAGTGCAAGGAGGAGGAATCCGGTCGGGCTCCATGGAAGTCGATTGGTTCCGATTCTATTGCTTCTGGAGGGTTCTGGCTCTAGTTCGAACGCCGAGAGAGGACGGCGGCGAATTGGAAACCCCACTACAGCTAACTCGCCGGCAAATTCGATTTCTCCGTCTCTCCGCCCCATTGGAAACCCCACTACAGCTAACTCGCCGGCAAATTCGATTTCTCCATCTCTCCGCCCCGTAGGAATTTGGATAGAGAGGGAGAGAGAGGGACTGGAACGGTTTCATTATTTTTAATCCTCAAACTTATTCACAACCGTCAGATTTACATATTTTCCATCTTGACCGTCCGTACCTCGTACCTTGAAAAGCTACGGAACATGGAAAAAATTTTCATGACGTTTGACCAAATTTTACCAAAAAAGACAAAAAAAGGTTAAAAAGCAGTTGATTCTCTGATTGTAGACCTGTCCGCAGGAGATCGTATCCCACAGTAATTACAATACGAGGTCCAGGGTGTTTAAGCAGGAGCCACTACGTCACCGATCTGGGCAGTCAACATATCCACATCCCACTATATGCGAGTGCACACCCGCCCCAATCACAGCCAACTAGTTGGGCCGTCACTGCACTTTGTGAGAGTTTTATTTTATTTTTTTTATTTTCCGAAATGATGACAAAGATAATATGTCATATTTCTAAATTATAATAAAATTATAAATGCCATCAGAATGGACTTTTGTTTTCCTTTTTCTACATAATTTGTTCATGTTGATATCGGAGTATGGCCTCAATCGTGAATGTATGCTCGTTTGTGAGCCTAACCAAGAGTGCAAGCTCATTCGCGCGCTAAGACGGATGTATAAGCTATCTAGAGGGCCTAGGCGGGAGTGTACATTGCCAAAACGTTCAATTCGTGAGTGGTCGAAGGGTTGTTTGCATGGATGTTGTTGGAGAGGTTCGTCGTCTGCCCTTATCTTGCTTCGGGACACGCTGCATCTCGATACGTTGCAAGAGTTGATTCACCGAGGTCTTTTGCTGAGCGAGGGCGCTCGTCAATTCTACAACTTGTTGGGATAAGTGTTGTTCGCCATGTGGGATGGAAGAGCTTCGACGGTATACATCTCCTTGAATGATGGAAGTGTAATGGACTCTGGGCATGAGATTTAACCTGGGATATGTCAAATCTGCATAAAAACGAGTGAAAATACCCCCGGTTCAATCATCGGTTCAGAAATCTGAAACCGAGACTGTTGAACTGGTCTTGGACCGATTTGGGCAGCTAGGTGGGCCACAATAGTGGGTGGACCGCCGGCACGGGCTAGATCGCATATGCGAACGGGGCTATCGGGGAGTGTGGGCGCTGGGCATTTCTTCATCTCAGTGCGGCTTAGGCTTGCGCAACATCCTAGGCCTGCAGGTCTTATGTCACGCCCCAGCCCGAAAATATTTATTTTCAGGAAATAGTTCCAATGATAGGCCCAATTCAATTTACCGGTTTGATTTATTAAACGTTCACACAATTTATAACTAGAATTTATATATACAAAATATAAGATTTCCTTTTATAATAAAATTCCAAACTCCTTACTTAGTTCAATTTCTCAATCAAAGCTTTGTCTCGTTTATTTAATCTCACTTATTGTATGGCTGCATCTAACGTCTTGTTAAGACTACCTACGTACCCTAAACAGGGATCAAGTCATTTGTAGTTCACATTTCCAAAAATTCAAATCAAAACCAAATATATTCATTTAATCCAACATATACCATAATCGTATTAATATTCAAACCACAGCAGTTAGGTCTCAAAAGCATAATTAGAATAACAAAATTCGCATAAAAATACAGTGTCAACTCCCTGACCGTGCGTCGCCGCATCCGCCGCCCCAACTCACCGAAAAATTCAATTATTTCTAAAAATTATCAAAAATTACAAAAATGAATATCTAAAAGAGTAGATCAAAATTTATACCTGCGACCAAGTCCAATTTGACCTGGAAAGGCTTCAATTTGCCTCGAACCCGCCGGAAACCCTATAAATGAGTGGTCCCAAAACGTCACCTCTAGTGCTCCGCCGCCCCTTCCATTGTTTGGGGCTTTGTTCCAGATCTCAAGGGGAGTTTAATGGTGGTATTAATTAGATGAAATCCTTTCAAACTTGATGGATCTCGAGCAAAACCTGCGCCCACCCACCGGTGAGGTTTTCCCAAGTTCTAAGGCCAATCCCCATATTTTTGGGATGTAATAGGAAAAGGGAACGATTGGGTTCAAAGTAATGATAATTTGGCACCCTTCCTATTGTCAAAGGTGGCAGGAATCAAAAGATTCAACCGGGTTGGGGTCGTGGGTATAACCGGGTCTAAGGGTTCCCTCATTCTCCCTTCTCTCATTTCCTTTCTTTTCTATCTCCCCCCATTGGGCGTACCCTCTTGATTCCTTAATTTTTCTCTCCTTTCTATTCTTTTCTTTTTATCACAACCGTCCATCATTTATTTTTCCTTTCATCATAGCCACCCACATGGCACAACTCATTGCTTCAGATTTTCTGGAGCCTTCTAAATGGAAATAAAATTACCAAAATATCTCTGACTTTAAATGTTAATAACTTTTTCGTTATAACTCTGTTTCACGAACGGTTTGCGCCTATGCGTTCGTGAGTTCAAGCCATATTCAAAATATAAATTGTGACCTAAAAAGGTCTACGGATTTTAAATAGTTAATTTCCAAACTTTAAACCTCGTAAGCAGTTTAATTTAAAATTGAACTCAAATAAATTAATATAATTTCCCCAAAAATAATATAAACTCTCAATACCATAACTACGCACATTATAATAATTCCCGTAACGAAACTTTACGATTTTCCCCATTCTATCTTTGGGACCGTACATCAATTTAATTTCGATTTTCTTCACATATTCACAATTATGAATATAAAATTCATATATTTAAATTTTCAGGGTATTACATCTTAGGTTGGTTGTGTTGCAGCAGCTTGCTAGGGCACTATCCCGTGAGCTTGTTGCTCTGCAACTGCTGCTCTGTGGGCTGCAACTGTTGTTGCTTCATGGCCTAACTGCCATGGAGTTGTCCCACTCTCCACTGCCACAGTAGTTGTCATGGCTGCCATGATGGTGGTACTCCGTGGTGGCAAGGTTACTCCTTTTGCTATGGTGAGTCTCGTGGATCGTCGTGGTGGGGCTACACCGCAATTTCCATCCTTTGATCAGATCTTTAAACGTAGGAATTTTTGTTCGTCGTGGTTTTCGAATTTCCCGCCATTGTATTTTTCTCATACGTCTATTCAAAGAATTAAACAATTATAGGAATAAAGAACGTATGAACAAGAAATGAGAAACTTTGAATGCGAGAGTTTTCTTCGAGCATGTGAATCAAACTCTTAATGAAAACACTAATTTGTGGATGCAAATTTGACACACCCCGACCTAAATCAAGATGTGATGGCCGTCACGTGAAGGTGACGTAACCATGTGCACAGTGCGGAAGCTAAAAATAATAGTAGAAGTATGAATAACTAAAAACCAAGTTATACACAAAGTAGATAACATACATGTGCAAGCATAAGTGTGATAAAAAAAAATATTCAGAGCACAAAAGACCTAGTGCAGTCTAGAAGAATAAACACTAACGAAACACACTTAGAGGTGGCCCTACACTGGTGATAATCTGTCAGATATGCCGAGAATCCCTCGAGAACCACCAAAAGAGAAATCCAAACTAGAACCTGGAGGGACGCAAAACAGAAAGTGTGAGTGGGCAAAAACAAAGCTTTTCAAAATCATTTCAATATCAAAAGTTCTAAACCTCACCGTAAAACTTGTATAATTTTCCCAGAAAAATAGAATATGTGCACATATAGGAAACATGCTCAGAAATATGCCATGTTAATGCCTCTACAGAAAATGTAAGTACTCAGGTAATGTCAATCAATATCATGTAATCTGTCAGCCGGAGTCACCTAACGTGACCGGTACGGCTGAATC